CACACACACACACACACACACACACACACACACACACACACACACACACACACACACACACACAGAGGGCACACACAGAGGGCACACACACACACACACACACACACACAGAGGGAGACTCCATAATTTTCTGCCTTGCAAAGCAGAGAATTCCAGAATCTTGACATACAGATAGCCAAGTAGCTCAGAAGAACCCTTTAGAGTCAGCCTCCATACTAGGAGGGTTTCTATCATTAAACAGCAGAGCAGTAGGACGTAGCTAAACCATTCGTGATAAGTACATCGATCAGATCAACTTAGGCAGGGGTGAAAGATGGTACATCTTTCTCAAGAGAAGCAATCAATGCCTTCCTTCAGGCCTTCCAACCATAAAGGGAAGGAGCGTGAGTGAGTATTTGTTGTTAATCCTTTTGACTTGCTGGGGGAATAGGAACCGGACTGACGCTCCCCAGAATGGAAAAGAAGCCAGAACCATCAGGTTCTGTTTGTTTTTTTTAATGATATAAATAAATAAAGAAATAAATAAAGAAATTCCAGAATCTTGACCCAAAGCAGAGAATTCCAGACTCTCTCTCTCTCTCTCTCTCTCACGCACACACACACACGCACGCACTGCTAAGAATATTAGTTGTGGAGCCTGAGACAAGCCCAACTCAATCATAGAGGAAGAGTTCCAAGCTGAACTTACAAAAATAAGTGTATAGACAAGTTCTACAATCTCATTCTCATTCGGTTTGAGGGTCCTCCGAAGCTGTGACCTGGCTCGCATAAATCTTGGCCATCTCATAACCTTGACTATGAGGAAAAGCTGGAAAGAGCAAGCAAACAGACAAAGCCAGCAGCCAGGGAAACGCAATAAGAAACTAGCAAACACAGAAACTTAATCACAGGTAGCGAAGTGTTAAGGTGTGAATCCAACATCTGAAGGGTATATTGATACTATTGAATATGTTTTCGGAAGATGAAGCCTTGGGCACTAGTGGCACAGTCTTCAGCACCGTGCTCTATCCCTGGGTTGATCATCTGGGTTTCCATCGTCATTGATTCAAGCATACATATCTTAGTAGAACAAACGTGGACAAGTTGGACTGTCAGAAAAGCAAAAATGAAAGGGAAGCCAATAACCGGGTGATGCTGGAGTGGTGCTTCAGTTCTTTGTTCTTGCATATTATGTCCTCCACGAGAGCCGAAATGCGCGTGGAAAAGCACTTGGGTCAAACCGAGCAACAGGAGGCTTGCACCTCTGAGGCCGGCTCGGGAGATAAAAGTCTCGATGAGGATAACGAACTCGATGATGTAGCGGCTGAACGACATGATTCTCTAAGTCCGCGAGGAAGTGAGCCTGCCAGGTTTTGATCCCTGGATCTGCCAGTTTGGTGAGTGTTTCTTTATTTTCTCTTCCGGGAATCGATCCCAGGCCTTCTGTTTGGTAGTTTTTTTTTTTTTGGATCTTGCCAGGAATCTATCCCTGGCCCTCTTGCTTGCTGAGGTGTTTTAGGGCAGCCGTTACGTTTTCCTTTGCTTTTGCTGCTACCTGTCCTCTTGGCCAACTTCCAGCCTAGGTACAGAGGGGCTGTAGGTTGGAGTCTCTTTGGGAAGTCGTAGGTCCATGTAGTCCGTGGTAGAGAGTAGACTGTCCGAGTAGCCTAGGCAGAAAGGATAAGAGTCCAGCACACGAGGAACCAGGGGTTCTTTTCTTGTTTTTTTTTCCCTTTTCACTTCATTGGTGGAAGGTCACGCATGAGCGCTGCTGTGTGGGTAGCAGACAGAGAGCAGCGGTTCTTCTTCTTCCACAGAGCTGGAGGCCATAGCTGGGGCCTGTCTGCTCCATAGAAGACAGCGCTGGGCTACAGGCCCTGAGTTGTGTTGGCGCTTCCTCACTTAGTGTGTTTGTTTGAGGTTGGAGCGCTGCCATCTTCTTCCAAGTGGCAGCCGTATCTGCGGTTCCTGCTGAAGAGGGACTTCATCTTCTTCGAGATTGCTGGTTGAATTTAGGAAGCACAGGCACTGTGCTTCTAGATGGGCACTGGGCTGGCGCTACTGTAATTAGTGGAGTGGTTAAGTTGTTGCTTCGGGGTATTGGTGTCTAGCGCTCGCTGCTACAGCAGCCATAGCCAGGGTCACAAGGTGACAAGGAGGAAGGAGAAGACTCCTGTAATTTCAGTGAAGTTTGTGCGGGGGTTGGTCGAAGGTGGAACTAAATTCGTGGTTGAGTACCTTCGGGTTGATGTTCGATTGAGAGGAGGAGAGCACGGGGAAAATTAATAATTGATCGACTCGTTGAAAACATTTTCTTTCAATTTCGTTTTGGTTTTGGCTTCCGCTGCGTAATCTCTCTTTCTGGATTGGTGTGAATGTGCTCTCTTCAGTCCTCCTGTAATTGCAGATGTGTATGGGGACATTTGAATTCGGTTTTGGATTGTGAATCAACTGAGCACATAACAGTTGGTATCAGAGCTAGACCACGGCCACCCGGCGGTTGACGTTGTGGCAGCTTCTCCTTGGCCAGCGGTTGGAGAGAGGGAACGTGCGATCCGTCGTTTTCAACGGCGCACCGGCGTCAAGGAGTTGTGATTTGGGAAATACATGGCGGTGAGAATACGTGCGATCAAAAAAAAAAGTGGAGATTCGGGAAGTGGTAATTGGTGGACGTCGGCCAGCAGGCACTGACTAATTGGGGTCAACAACCCTAGTTAGACTGCCGCTGAACTGGAGGGCGCTGATCCTCAAATTGGAGGCCGGCCACCAGAATCACGATCTTCAGCAGGAATGATTCTTTTGCAGACAGTATTTGACGGTGAACGTTCACACTGCTGATTGGAAGTATCAGCAAAGTTTCATTGGGACGCTGACTGGGAAAAGTCAGCTGGGGTCCATGGAATTGTGGTCAACATTGACAGGCAGCAACCTTCAATCAAGATTCGGCCGCGTGAGTTCGTTCCTGCAATCTGTTTTCCAAGATGCCAGTCTGTCCGTACGTCAGAATGTCAGTCTGTCAGCTGGCGGCCCGTGAAGGGAGTAGTTGGTATTTGTCAATCTGGTATGCATCAGCCGGTCTGACGGTCGAGTCTGACTCTTTAAAGGGTGACTGGGTGCGTCGACTCTGCAAAAGACGGCAATCATGGGAATTCTCTGCCTGTTCTGTCCGCCACGGCCTGCAGCAGCAGACTGCGTTGTCAGTCCAGTCTGTCAGTCAGCGGAAACGGTCTGTCTGTCGTTGTTAGAAAAGTTCCCGAGGGTGCTTGTCAAACAGGCTGATGTGCTGTGGCATGGAGGGGACCACGGCTTCGGATGTAGCGTGGGAATGGACATTAAAGGTCTACGGGCTTAGGGACCTAAGCTTGAGAGAGATGACATGATTCCGAATGAGACTGAGATGGAGGGGAGCTCAAAGGTTTAGCGTTGGGCAAGAGGGCGGTTCAAAAGAAAGTAAAGTATTTGATGCTGGAGGGAAAACCTGGAGTGACAGCCAATTTTTGCTAGGCATGGAGAGTACACTTCAGAAAACTCAGTTCTCGTCTTCATTGAACATTTGGCAGATGCAGCAGAGTCGACCTTCTATTCCGACAGCTGGGAGCATTGAGTACGTTGTCACAAGTCGTTTCCTTCCTGTTCCAGCTTAATCTTTGTCGAATATGAGAAGTGCTGACCTCTAGAGCGTGAAACCCGCTCTTCGGGGACAGACTTGACCGTCATGGCGCGTGAGACCCGCTCTTCAGGGACGGACTTGACGGTGAGAGAGTGAATGTGTGGGATTCTACTTGGATGTGTACTGGTGAGTGGAGGATCTGCTAGAAGAAAACAAAACTCTCCCCTGGACGACTCAGCTCTATGGAAAGACGCTGTCTTTTATGGCTTGGGAGAGAGTTCAATATAGTGTGCCCTTCTTGTAAGATGCAGCCCCTGTGAGCGAGTGTGCCGTGGACAACTTGCCCTTTGCCATCCAGCAATGGTGCTCTCCTTGGGTGCTATTTGTCATGGCCTGGCACCGCTGATTTCAAATACGTGAGTGCAAACACCGCACCAGCGGGAACAAGCAAGATCATAAAAGCGCAGCAACGGTGCAGGGTGCGAGCACCTTAGTGCAGCACTCACCAAAAACCCGAGCGCAACTCATAATTCCTTTCCAGCGAATAGCCTAAGTTTAACGATGCAGGTCCCCTCCCACACATCCATGATCTTCACCCGGGAAGCAGCTTGATGGCTAGGCTGGTCTGCAAGGTATGTCCGAACTAAGCGGATACAGAAAAGTATTAACAAAAACTGTATAAAGTACTATAAACTAGGCACAAAAATGTAACATGTTCTAGTATCAACTACATGCCCATAACTGTGCGGGACGCAACATGACGTCCAGGGATCAAGCCCTGTTGCAACAGAAGCCTGGCAAACACCGTTTCTATGTTGCAGAATAGTAGTCCTACTCATTAGGCAGAAGCAAGAAGGCCGGATTCTTAAAGGAATTGCTGCAAGAACGGAAGGTAGAAGGTATCATCAGGGCTATAATATGTTTCGAGGAGTGGGTAACCAGTCAGTGAAGGGCAATGGAATGCTAAGAGAATATGAGCCTGACAAGCATGGCACCTGTATCCCAGATTAAGAGTCCTAATACAGGGGCAGAGACAAGGGGGATAAATTCTCACCCGCAGGTACCAAAGACCCCTGGCGTCCAAGTTGAGCAAGTAAATGATCAGCTCCACGGGTATACTGGAAATGAGGTCAGGGAAAAACCAAGTAGTGAAGTAGTGCCAGGCAACTTTCCTTGGGTCGGTCACGAGTCTTGAAATGGTTGCCAAGCCGTCCAACTTCGAGATGAGCTTCCTTGACTTCTTCAGATTGAAGTGCTCATAGTATGCAACTCTGAAGTTCAGAATAGTATCAATTACAAATAGACCATTTTGAATTGTCTCAAAGACCAGCCATGAACCAGAGGATGTATGGTTGAATCCGATCTGATACGTCACCGAGAACTGTCCACCACACAACGACCATACAAAAATTGATGATCAGTCAGACCACTTAAAGAATTCAAAGATAAGATTACGTTGAGAACTGTCCACCACACAACGACCATACAAAAACTGATGATCAGTCAAACGGACTCAAACCACTTAAAGAATTCAAAGATAAGATGACACAGGATCGAAAACATCAAAATAACACACACACACACACACACACACACACACACACACACAGAGAGAGAGAGAGAGAGAGAGAGAGAGAGAGAGNAGAGAGAGAGAGAGAGAGAGAGAGAGAGAGAGAGAGAGAGAGAGAGAGAGAGAGAGAGAGAGAGAGAGAGAGAGAGAGAGAGAGAGAGAGGCCTGTGCCCATCAACGGCAAGGAGTGGGAGAGATGGGTTGGGTGCCTTCCCCTCTGATGCAGCTTCACGATCAACCGCTTCCTTCTTGCAACTACATCCAGTTCTGAAGGGGCTTGGACTACAAACAACTGTTTGTTCACAGGCAAAAGGTCATTGATTAAACCACCAGTACCCTGAGCAGCTATCTGCGAGAATGAGCCAGTTAGTACAGTGTTGCAGAAAGGCTCAGCCTGCTGGACCCAAAAGGTGGGTGGCACAACCAACTGTTTGTCCACGGTTCACTGGTCATTTGATTAAACCACCAGTACCCTGCCCAGCTACCGGCAAGAATGTGCCGGTTAACATGGTGCCGCAGAAACACCGAGCCTACTGAACCAAAGGGGCTGGCAGCACCCAGCAGGCCATTGCCGGCAGTGGTTGTTTTGGACCTTAGGTATTATAGGGGGAGGCAAACAGCACATCAGAAAAGAAGGCTCGGAGGTACTGGATTTTAACATTGATTAATGGTAAACCAGACCAGAGCTGTCTATGGCAAACAGCCTTTTCATAAAGTTATTTCGGAAAAAAAGAGGACGTTTGCGGAAGGACAAGAAAAAGCACGAAGTACCTAACTGGGGAAAACAAAAAACAGAGGACCAAAGAGCAAAAAAACTAATACAGATGTTGACAGCCTGTTCCGTCGGACTTGCACCGACTCATCAGGAGGCTGAACCCTCGACAATCCACAGAATCCCCAAATTGTCATATTGATGCTTTTACCGTCTGGACAGCAGTCTGGACGTCCGGATCGTAGCCATGATATACATATTGTCACATAACTATATATCCTCACAAACAGATATATATCGTCACAAACAGAACTGCCCGGTAAACCGTAGGCAGAGAGAGAGAAGAGGACAACAAACGAGGGGCTGTGACAAACTGTTTCGTATATATATACAGGGTCACCAGCCCGTACGTACGGAGGTCCCCGGGCCGACCTCCATACGTACGGGCGTTCGGGGTCCCGTTCGGGGTCCGAACCCAAAGGCGTTTGGCCCCTGCCAAAAAATTATTTCAGGGCCTGAAAATAAGTTGTTTTCTCTGAATTTTTTTGGGTAAGTTTTCTATGATGTGAGGTACATGCCTAAAAATTTTGAAGTGATTTGACTAAGCCAAACAAAAATAAAAATCGCCAAAGATTGCGGTGTCAACACGTGCTCGCCCACTGACTTTTTGTTTTTTTTTCCATGGTAACCGCCCAGATGTCCGGACCGGGCTCCAGACAGTCCGGTGTCCGGTGTCTGGTGTCCGGTCCCCATGTCCGGATGGAGGCCCCTGGGGCAAAATTAAAAAAAAAAAAGGGGCGTCCCAGGACGTTTGTTGGGTCCTGGCCGCCCCTTGAAAAATAACGGGGTGATTTTAAGTGTCCTCTCACCCCACCGGACATGGCCTAGAGGTCCAGACACAAGACACTGCAGGTTTTTGAGGTGGCGGGTTGCGCACAGGCCCGAGCAATTTCAAAGCGGAGGGTTTCGCACAGGCCCGAGCAATTTCAAAGCGGCGGGTTTCGCACAGGCCCGAGCAATTTCAAAGTGGCGGGTTTCGCACAGGCCCGAGCGATTTCAAAGCGGCCGTTTCGACGTGGCGCCCACCGCTGCTGCCCGTTGGGGGCACAGAGAGAGAGAGAGAGAGAGAGAGAGAGAGAGAGAGAGAGAGAGAGAGAGAGAGAGAGAGAGAGAGAGAGAGAGAGAG